GGGGAAAAAAAAAAGTCCACGCACCCGCTAATCAAAATGAGGCAGGTGGTCATCGAATCGTTGAGGATCTGCCGGTCCACGCGGTAATGCAGCAGGGCATTGCCCCCCCGGGCCAGGACGTGCGATCGCACCAGGGCCGCCGACTCAAAGTACACGGCCTGCAGGAAGTCCCCGAGGCGCGCATCCTCATTGTGCTGGTGATGCGACGGGGCGGAGGTATCCTCGCGCAATAGCGGCAGGAAGAGGTTGCCAAATTGCCCGACAATGCGCGCGCCGAACACCGTATCCAAGGGGGTGATCATGACATTCGGCTGGAGGAGCGAGCCCCGGCATGCGATGGGACAGGACAAGTCTCATGGATCAGTGGGCCACGAAGGGAGGGAAGGGGGCAGGCCGGGGAGGGGCGGGGAAAAAAAGCAACAAGAAAAGCCGCAGCCGGGAAATACGCACCCGCTTCGTCAGCGCTGATGAGGAAATGTGGTTAAGCCAGCGATGCGTGTCCCACGGCGAAAGGTCGGCAAGGTCTTCAACGGGGGGAGTGGGCGTGGCCGAGCCGCCGCCACCGCCGCCGCCGCCACCGGCCACCAACAGGTCGGTGTCCCCGCCGGCCAGCGCCATCGGCACGGTCAGGTGGGGCGCCTCCTCGCTGAGCGGCGCATGGCCCAGCAGCGGCATACTGCCGGAGGATGTCAGACTGGCCGCCGCGGCCGCCGCCGACTCGACCGGCGACTGGCCGTCAGCCACCAGGCAGCAGGGGCGCTCCCACACGGCGGCCGGGCGCCGGGCCACCACCAGCGCACTGAGCGTCAACAAAACTTGATTGGCTGGCAGACATTGGAAATTGTACCGGATCCCGCAGATGACCAGCGGGTCGATGAGGCTCCGAGCACGCGCACACACCAGCGGCGCGTCCGCCTCGGCCAGGGCATCCAGGCAGCTGGCCCCGGCCGGAGCCGCGGGCAGCGCCGCACCCAGAGTATTCACCCCAGGATGGCCATAGGTGGCCCGGTGCGCGGCGCACATGCCGGCCGCCGCGGCCTTCGACAAGCTGCTCAGACTGTCCAGCAGGGCCACCGGCCCCGGGGGCTGGTGCTCCCGGTGAACCTTGGCCACCAGCTGCTCGTACAGCCGGTTCAAACTGTCATTCAGCCTGCGGGAGTACTTCAGGCTGGTCAAAGCCACGGCCGTGGGATTGCTGGTGTCCGGGGCGCGCAGAGTCCCGGGATCGCCGGATCCACCGGGCCCCCCGGACCCCGGGCCGCCGGCCGCCCGGCCACTACCCCCGCCCAGCCCTAGGCTCCTTGTCCACATGCTGCTCAGGAGACTGCCGCCGCCGCCGCCGCCGCCGCCGCCGCCGCCGCCGGATGGTACATCGCTCGTCGCCGGGGTCGAAGCCGGATGATCATCCCCCACCAGGCCGAGACTGTCATCCGGGTGCCACAGGGAAAACTTTTGCACCAGGGTCACCGTCCGGGTCTCGGTCATCAGGAATGCCTGCTGCGGGGGCTCGGTCGAGGAGGCCGAATGCTGGTGTTGCCGGGGGTGGTGATGCTGCTGCCGTTGCTGTCGCTGGTGTTGCCGCTGCTGCCGGGGATGGCGGCGATCGGGCCCACCGGCGGCGCTATCGTCCAGTAGGCGCATCACATCAGCCGGCGAGGCACCGCCAGGGGTCTTGCCCTCGGACACCGGCAGCAGGGCCAGCCCCCCGATGGATGGCTGGTCGGTGTGGGCGATGTGCAGCTCCGGCTCCGGGATGCTCAGGCGTGGGCATTCCGAGAGCCGCCGCTCGGCGGGGCCCAACCGGAAGACCTCATCATCCGACGAGTGGGACTGGTGCCCGCCCGGCTCGTCCCATGCCACGGAAGAGGAGGTGGTGAGGCCGCCGCCATGGGGGCCTCCACCGCTGCCGGAGCTCGACGGGCCGCTGGAGCTACTGGTAGCACAGCTGCTGGCGCTACTGCTGGAGCTGCTGCTGGAATCGCTTTCCGTGTTGAGCAGCAGGTCCTCGTAGTCCTCGTTGGCGATGAGATTCACATCGTGTGATGCCAGCAAGCGCACAGTGGCCTGGCAGAGGGAGACATAGGGAGATGAGCGAGGGAGGAGGGGTGGAGAGAGGAGTAAGAGGAGAGAGGAGGAGGACAGCGGGCGCGCGATGAGAGGAGCATGGAAGGGATGAGGAGATACATGCACAGGGGATGGATGAAGGTCAGCGCGAGAGCATGGGGAAGAAACGAGAAAACACCCAACACATGGCAAAGACCTCCATGGGGGCCAGCGCACCGAAGACCGCAGCGAGGGCAGAAGGCTCACCCGGTGTGCGTCAATCATATCGTCCACCGTCAAGACGTGGTTGATGCGCTGGTCGTAGGAGTAGTCGTCGCTGGATGTCTCGGACTCGGGCGTCAGCGAGTCTTGACCGCGCCCGAAGTTGCCATACTCGCCCATGGTCGAAGGGTCATGCGCCGGGCCAGCCGGCGAAACGGCCCCCCAGGACACATCGCGCGTGGCCATCCCACTCGCAGCCGTCACCGACGCCCCCTCGCCGGAGTGCGGTGACAGCAAGCCGGCCGGGCGCCAGGACCGGAGCCCGCCACTGTGCGGGGTGGACCGCATGGTCAAGAACTGCGCCTCGGTGAGACGCTGATCAAAGAAGGATCTCAAGTGAAAGTCGATGGCACTGTAGGACTGCGGGAACAGCGGGGCCGGGAAGGAACACAGGACAGACAGACAGCACGCCGCTAGGTAGTTAGCAAAAGAAAAAACCCTTCCCTGCACACGCAAGAGCACGGAAAGCAGCACCAAGGCACATGCACCCATCCCCCCCCCCCCCGGGCGCTCGACGGCACATACCTCCCTGGCCTCCTCCTTCACCCGGGTGTAGATCCCCTGCAGGACGGGGTTCAGACCCATGAAGGACTCGTCCGACACGGAGAAACGCTGGGGGATTGGCAGCGCCGCCAGGAAGATGGCCGACCCGGTGGCGATGATGGTCAGCAGGTCGGCCGAGGCTGACAGAACGATGTTCAAGTCGAACACCGCATTCATGCCCATCATGCGCAGACGGTATTGCAGCTGCCGGTACAGCTCATGCTCCACAAAGGGCAGGCTCCCGGACAGGGCCAGGGCCAGCTGGTGCGATGACGAGGTCCCAGGCAGGGCGCGGCACACCCGCGCTTCGATGAAGCGCGCCCCGGTGAGCGGCGCCCCGCTGCCCGCACGATCACCAACACCACCGACACCACTGCCACCACCATCAGTGACACCTGGCGCGACCATGGCCGCCGACTCGCCGGAAACCAAGTTCCCCGCATGCAGCCACTCCAGCTCACCCGGGACACCTTCGGTCGTGGCGATGATCAGCTCCGGCACATGCTTGCCTCGGCACAGCCGGCATGTGGGATAGGCCATCGGGAAGGGAGCCATATTGCGCAGATCATGGCTCACATGGCAAAGCGAGCAGCCGGGATTCTTCTTCAGGGCCGTCGACAGCCGGGTGTTGACCGCCTCGTGGCGCGTGCGCCGGGCCTCAGCATGCCCGGTCGGCGCGGCCGCGCCCCGACTGGCCGCTCGACCATCGGACCGGCGCACGTGCACCGGCGTCGCCGATGCCGGGGCCGCACTCGGCGTGGCATTCGGCCGCGAGCGTGGGCTTCGCCAGAACCGCCCGGGCGACGCCTGGGCCACCGTCTCGCCATTGTCCCCGACAGTGGTGGACATCTGCGAACCACTTCGTGACCGGGCTCCAGCCCCGGGGACATTGTGCAGGCTGCTGCGTGACCCCTGCCGACTGAGGCGCGTCCTGGTGGCCCCGCCGCGCCGGGGGTCTGCCCCGGTGGTCGACGCCGCCCCGGGTGCCGGCGACATGCCGCGCGCGGCCAAATACTCGCCGTCCGTCACACCGATGGCCCCGGGCCGCGAGGACGGACGATGGCCATCCTGCCCGGGATGGCTGCGACTCCTTCTGGCACTGACCGCACGCGCACTGTGACTTCGCCGGAAGAGCTGCTCCGGGAAGAAGGGCCCTGTCCCGGCCGGCGGCCGCCGGCTGCGTGCCTGTGCCCAGATCATCGGCCGGGAGCCGGTGGTCCGGGTCCGAGCGACGCCCATGCCCCCGGCGTGGGCCCGATCGCCATCTAGATGGTCCGGAATGGCCACGGCCGCTGCGCCCTCGGGACCCCGGCTCCGGCGCCGAGAATCCGCCATGAACGACTGCAAGGCCGAGCCCCGAGGGCTAAAGAGCCCGGTCCGACGCCCGCCAGTGGCCCGCGGACGGAACAACTGCACCGATGCCCCGGGCCGCGGGGCCCGCCTGGCCGACCGAGCCGACCTCGTCGTGGCACGAGTCTGCCGGGTGGCGCGAGCTGCTCGCCGGTCGCGTCCTCGCTCGGGATCCGAGTCGGAGCTGGAGCTGGAGCTGGAGCTGCTGGAATCCTCGCTGTCGGTGACATTGTGATAGTGTGCGCGCAGGAGGTGCACCGCCGTGCCGACGGCCGACAAAATCAACACCTCATCGTCCACAACCTCCAGGGTCTCGCTATAGCCGACCACCGCATTGCAGCGGAGGGTCCGTGCGTGGTCGCGAATCTCCGACCGAAGCTCATTCCACCACTCGTCGCGCAGCTCCCGCCGACGTTCCACCCCGTCGACTTCGAACACTTTGACCGACCGCGCCGACACAATGCCCCCCAGGCGGCCAATTTGCTCCGGCCCCAGGCGCCGCATGGTAATCAGCGGCAGCTCCAGCGACGAGGCGGTCACCGCATGGCGCCGGGAGAAGCGATTGGCCACTGACCGCCCGCCGTCCGCCTGGTCGTGGGGGTCCTCAGCGGGACGCGCCTGATCGCCCTGGAGGGCGGTGGCCTGCATGTGGATGCCACCCGGGAGGAGCCCGGGCGAATGGCGGGCAGAGCAAAAGGGGAAGGGCGTCTTGTCAGTGCAAGGAGGAATCGGCAACACACACACACACAGAGAGAGAGAGAGCGACAGGAGAGGGTGAAAAGCAAAAAAAAAAAAAGGAAAAGAAAAGGACAAGAGCGGCGGGCGTCAGCGGGGACGACGCACCGGCGTTGTCTGCGACAGAGGGTTCAAGGCCGAAGACCCAGGCAGCTGGTCCTCCTCCATGTCGGAGTCCGAGGTGCCAGCATGGCTACTCCCATTCTCCAGGTGGTGGTCATCATCGTCCGAGTGTGACATGAAGCCGGAATCGTCGGTGCTCGACCCGGAATCCGAATGCCCCTGGTCAAAGAGCCCGGACTGGGCAGAATCATCTGACGAGGCGGACAGGGCTCGGTCGGAGTCCTCCTCCGAGGAGGAGGACGAAGAGGAGGAAGACGAAGAGGAGGACGCGTCAATTTGCTTCAGCAGGCAGGCGGTCCCGGTGGCTCGGACCACCAGGCTGTCCTCCGGGTCGATCTGGATCTCAAAGCCCAGGACGGAATTGCCCTCCTGTCGAGGGACAAGGGCCAAGGAATGGGACATAGGGAGAGGCAGAGAGAGGGAGGGCAGTTGCTGTCAGCATGAGGGCACACCCAGACCAACGGCAAGACGGAGCACGAGACACCAAGAGCAGCGCACCAGCCGGATGACTTTCTGCCCGATCAGCCGCTGGACCTGGCCAGCGATGGACATGATGCCAGCCTCGTCGAAGGCACCGGAGGACTTGAAGATGTCCCGCAATCGCAGGGGCGTGTCGCCATCGAAAATCTCCTCCACGAAGCCGATCACCTTGAGGTAGGTGCCTGGAGGGGCGGAGCTACGTGAGTAGAACCGCACGCCGGCAGACGAGTCCCGATAGGGGTTCAGATCGCCCAAAAGCTCCAGGCTGACCGATATGAAGAGTTCTCCGCGCAGGCCGTGCCGATGGTAGACCGGCATCCATCCGGACAGGACCTTGGTCGAGGTGAACAGGGGCGACACATCCAGCAGGACCGAGCCCACTTTCTCCGGCTTATGGAAGGCCTCACTCGACACGACAACCACTCGGAGCTGCCCGAAGGGGAGGCAGGAGGGACAGGAGGCGGCGTTAGAGCGGGACAGCGCCGGCCGATGGGGGAGCAGGCGGCGGTGGCAACAGAGGCAAGCAGCGAACACCAGCAAGAGGTGCCGACACGGCGAAACACACCGCATTGTTGTGAATATCCGACTCGTTGGCAATTTCGATGCGCATCGACTTGTTCCAGAAGGGATTGGCCGATCTGCGC